GTGGAAGCTACGCGCTTGCCGGACCAATCAGCCGCCTCCCTTTCATCACCTGACTTCATTCTCTGCAGCCACATTTGACACGCTCACGTGGCAAGTGTGGCTGGCCCAAGGAGCACATAGCTTCAACAGCACTGTCAGCTTCGGAATGAACGGGGTGGGGAAAGCAACTTTTGTCTGAATTTTGAGCGACGGGCTAATCTTCTAGCGGAAGAATGGATATGTCCGGGATTACACAAACGAGAGTGCGAGCAAGAGGGGACACCCCCTGTTCGTCTTCTTTAACTGTTTGGTACAATGCGCTATTTATGAGTTGAGGAGGAAAGCTAAACAGGAAAAAGTTGGAAAAGCGTTTCATAACCCCTTCAAGCATAACCAGAATGTTTCGACGAGAAAGCTGCTCTCCCACAAGTTCACCGAACATGATTCGCTGCTGCAGTTAATTGTCGCCAAACTTGTTAATCTGGATTAAACTACCTGCGGAACACAGGCTCTCACTTGTCACAACCACAGTATGTCCGAAAATGCAGTCTGTTTATTTAGGCGTCGATTGTGTTTGGCGTCTGGTTCCATTCGGTGTTGGCACATCTGCAATACTTTTGTTTCCAGATAGTGGAAAAGTTGACCGGCCAGCTAATTGATTTGTTGGGAGATTGGAAAACGAGCAGCAGGAAGTACTAAGATGTGAGTAAAGTAAAATCTGAGAGTTTGTGTCACAAGAATGATAGTATGTCAGCAAATAGGTTGATCCTCACAAGGGAATGCAACCTTGTGTCCAGCAGCTAATGTGCATCCAGCCGTGTGTTGGAGTTGAGTAGGTACTTTTGGCACCTACCAAAGACTTGGGTACATATTAATTGTGGTCCGACTTAACTGCACTTTGAGCAAATAAGCCCTTCAGCCTTGTTCATATATAATTAGGGTTCCATGTTTTCGAATAAATTTAATAAAACCCAAAAAACGCTCGCAGCTAAAACTTTTTATAAAGCTTTTTTGTCAATTCGGATTTTTTCTGAAAAACGATGATTTTGGAGGTCACGATGGCAAACAAATCTTAGTTATTTTGCCTATGCCTGATCAATGCGAAAGGCCACTAGCCTTGAGGAGATGCGTGATGTTGACGAGGATAATGTATTTTTCGGTGACGACAGGAGGAGCTAAGCATCCGACTCTATTAGCGGTTTTCCTTGTCTTAAGTTTAGACTGTACCATCTCTGATTTCTACAGGAAGTAAGGGCGGCCTTTTTTCTGTCACAGTGGGTGTTATGTTCCCGTCGATTTCATGGGAGGAGTGGCTGCGAGAAGCTAAAGTTTTAACATTCTCCCCTGCACCCGGTTTACAGCACATTCGTGTAGTATCTGTGATAGTGAGGATACGTTTTGGGGACAGAAGCACTTACACTAAAATACAAACACTGTATGCTTGTGTTTATTACATCAGGCTTGTTTGTAATACATCCAAGTTTTGAACTGCAAGGCAGTGCTCTATTTAAATATTTTATACAATAAAAATTTCTGTCAGCGTTCTTTGATGTTTCTTTCACTGACTATTATTTATTCCTGTTGTAATTTTTCTGAATAAATACTGTGAAATTAATATCAAAATATTGTAAAATTGAAGACTGAAAAAAACAAAAACAAAAAAAAAACATTAAATTTTTAATAAAAATAAAACTTCGAAAAATATTTTCCAAATTAAAAAAAAAGATAAACTCCAAAAACACAGAACCCTATATACTATAATGTATTGCAGAGCATAATATGCTCTGCAATACATAATATATTTGCCAGTAATAGTCTGAGTAGAAAAAATATTGTACTTACTCTGTGGCTTGAGGTAGGCGACGAGTTTCCTGGCTTGGATTGGTTTGAGTATGCTTGCGAGGTCTCCCTCAGTCAGAAAGTTGAGGTCACTTGGGCACTCTACGCCAAGGCTCATAAATTTGTTGAGGACGCTCTCAACCTCACCCGAGGTCAGGTTTGGCAAGGCCGCAATTATTTGTTCTTTGACGGCCTGCATCCTACGAAGGAACCCAGTGTTTTGGGATGATCATCATTGCATTCTGTACCTTATACGCAGGTAGTGGGTAATAATCCGTTAGTTGATCAATGTGCATGCATGCAAACTGCTCTGATGCATGCACTGCATATGAATGCAAATGTGGCAAATATGTTGTGCTATAAACTTTCACAGCAGTGAAGAGATTATTTCTGTTATGAATTAACAGCAACATTATTTCACCAAAGCACAACTCATTGTCCATGCAGGTAGGTACGAAGGCACCAAATGAGTAGGATGTCCCTTTGTATGAAACCTCATTTGTAACCATGGTGTCTTCTGACGTGAAGTTAAAACTGCCTAAGCATTTCTGGAGAGCTTCCGAGTAAGTTGAAATTAGAAAAGGCATTCCTGCCTTCATTACAATGTCAGGATCGAAAAATGCCTCAGAGTGCAGGTATGCCTGCAACAGCTGGTGTCGTTCAGAAAGGGTTTTGTTCAGTGCCTTGAAATTTTGCAGGCGTCTCACACAATTTTTGAAAAATGAGTGTTTGCTTTCAAACCTCAACGTCCACAGGTTTATTAGTGGACCAAGCTGTGTGATGAGCGTGGAGTAGTGAAGCAGGTAGTGGTGCTTTGGTTTCAGAGGTGCCATAGGAAATAACTCTTTGCGGTCTGCAAGGTACTCTTCAACTAGCACATGCAAGTAGGCAACCATTTCTTCATTTACTTTGGGAGCGCAGATAATGTCAACCACCTTCCTTAAGGTAAGGTAGAGGCACCAGATGGGATCTTTAGTGTCAACTTTATGGCTAACAAACAGAGGAAGCAGGCGCAGCAAATTCCATGTTTTAACAGCTTCACCAACTAACTTATTTCCTTTTATGTTTACTTCACAGGGTTTGCTAGTTGTGTCAGAGCCCAAGAACTTGAAAGATGCTATCCTGAAGTTCAGGTATTTCAATGAGAACCACTCGCATGTCTCTGTAAAGTGCTTTATGAAAAGGAGAAGGTCGTATGAAACAACACCTTCAAAAAGGTCATGTGCTATGCAAGGAGGAAGTCCCGCATCACATACATGAAAGAATGTCAGACTGTTAAATGGGCTGTTTGATTTCACCCCTTCAACAGACGACCCAGTCTCTTCAACCTCCTGAACTGCCAAATCATACTTTTCTGCAGTCCTTTTTTCACCAAGCCGACACGGATCCTCTCTGAACTCTTTTCGTGTGAGTAGGCAATAGCGGCAAATGAAAGTGGAGGAACTGAAGTTTTCGGTGAAGCCCCCGATAAAGTGAGATCCCAAGTTATCTCCGAGGATACATACGACTGTCCCCTTGACGTGCACACCATCAAAAAGAATTCCGTTCAATTCGAGATCGAGCAGGTCACGTAAAAGAAGAGAAAAAATTTTTTCGATTCCAAAAGTTTTGATGTCTTTCTCAGCAAAAAGAAGAGCCAGCTGAATGTGATCTCTGGTAGATCTCCTGTGTTTTTTGAAATTTGCAAGAGTGAAGTAGACACCAACAAGTTTGTGCTTCTTCCTTGCGGATCCCAAAGGATTCACAACCTCAAAAGCGTCCTGATACAGCAGTAGCTTAAATGTTGGCAGCCCAGTACTAAAGAGAGGATTTGATTTGTAGGCAGAACCGTCTGATATGTCTTGCATGTAGCTCGCGTCCCTGTCATCTAAAGACGTGTTAAGAATGCAGTCAGCAAGCGAACCATCCTGCAGTAGGCTTTTTAAGCTTTCCAGTACTGGCACATATTGAAATGAGCGATCTCTCTTGTTTCCGTCACGCCCAAGATAAATCTGCACTGGCTGGACGTATGAAAACTTTTGTTTAAAGTAGGCTCTTCTTTTGTGTTCACTATTGAACACGGTAGCATTCAGACTGCTGAATACATCGTGGCTGTTTGCATCCGCAACAATTTCTTTAGCATCAGCCGTCCCCAGGCGTTCCTCCAACTTGTCATGCAAGGCTTTAAACATGCACTGCTTACTCGAGCCATGCAGGTTTTCGATTTCTTGCCACAAATGCTGAACTGTGGAAGCAGGTAAGCAGTACTTAGATTCTAGCTTTAGGTAAAAGAGAGCCAGATCGTACTCGACACACTCTTTTAACTCACTTGGAGACGGTGAAAACTGAGGGGTGCCACCTACAGAGTTAGCACCCTCCATGCTTGCATCTTTTGGAGAAGCACTGCTCTGACAACCGGTTGCAACTAACACGTTTGCCTGTTGCCCTGAAGAACTGGTTGCGCCTAAGGCGCTTGCCTGTTGCTCAGAAGAACCGCTCGCTTGTTGGGCTGATTTTACATGTTTTCTTGATAGGTGAGACGCAAACGTAGGTTTCGCAGTGAACGACTTGTCACAGCTAAAATACGGGCAACTGACTGACTGCCCGTTGTCGATGTGCTCTCTAAGATGAGTTACTATCTGAGCCCTACTCGAGCACTCGCGAACGCATCCGTGCACGCCGCACTTTAAGTTTACGTCACCCGTTAAATCGAGCCGAGGTCCACTCGCGCGCAGTTGACCTTTATGAAACCGTAAGATGTGACATCTGAGCCCTACATAAGTAGTGAACTGCAAACAACAAGTTGCGTGTATACATGGAATCTGCCGCGCTCCGAACTCGTGGCTGTCATAATGACGCACATATTCGACTAACGTGGTTGACCCCTTTGAACAGACACGACAAACAAACATGGTTGTTCAAGCCGTCGCCTCACTAAAGCGAGAGAAAAGAGCTAAGACCGACAAATCGCGAGAATGTGCAGTATTAATCTGAAGCTATCTTTGGCTGGTTCTCAATCGCTTGTGCTCCCTTCCCGAAAAGGAGCGCGAACGACGATCGCCAGCCGGCCAGCGATGCACTCCGTCAACGCACGTGCTGCCGGTTTGTCGGTGCCGGCTCTTTCTCGATCTTGCCGGCCACGGTCATTAATTTTCTCAGAATCGGATCGTGCTTGCCACATTCATATTCAAAATGATACTCACGTTATGTTCGTTTACTATCGGGCCCGCCAAACGCCTCGGGTACTGCGCCGTCAGCCGTCTTGGTAGCCACGGTCGTGCTCCCTACCGCAAACTTTCCTCGCTTTGTTTTCTTCCTTCGGGAAACAAAAGATGGCGACCCGACGTTGGGAACGGCGCGAAAGCGCGATGGGGAGGGCTGTGGGCGAGGGTCAAGGCGCGAGCCGCGAACTGGAGAGCAGCCCGACGACGCAGGCGCAGAAGGCCTCCAACACATCACGTGCGTCCCGTGCGTGTGTCTGGAGCGTGGCGCGGCCGCGGAGTGTGTAGCGCGCCTCGCTTGGGGCGTTCTGCTTCTTTCCTTCCGTCGCCGTACCTTCTCTCGCTCCTCTTCTTTCCTCCGTCGCCGTACTCTTTTCACTCGAAAAACATTGTCAACATACCGTATTTTTTTTTACGGTGGGCGCCCCGTGACGTTCACGGTCAGGTGACTGTTTATTTCACGGTCATTTTTTACAGTGTGGGTGTGCCCGGGATTTCTCAACGGCGGCGGATGTTCGTTCTGCGCGTTCGTGGTTTTCGCTAAGGGTGCTACTGACGCCTGGTGCACCCGCGGCGACGGCATCCGGGACGACATCGTGGGTGTGCCCGGGATTTCTCAACGGCGGCGGATGTTCGTTCTGCGCGTTCGTGGTTTTCGCTAAGCGTGCTACTGACGCTTGGTGCACCCGCGGCGACGGCATCAGGGACGACATCGTGGGTGTGCCCGGGATTTCTCAACGGCGGCGGATGTTCGTTCCGCGCGTTCGTGGTTTTCACTAAGGGTGCTACTGACGCCTGGTGCACCCGAGGCAAAGGCATCAGGGACGACATCGTGGGTGTGCCCGGGATTTCTCAACGGCGGCGGATGTTCGTTCTGCGCGTTCGTGGTTTTCGCTAAGAGTGCTACTGACGCTTGGTGCACCCGCGGCGACGGCATCAGGGACGACATCGTGGGTGTGCCCGGGATTTCTCAACGGCGGCGGATGTTCGTTCTGCGCGTTCGTGGTTTTCGCTAAGGGTGCTACTGACGCCTGGTGCACCCGCGGCGACGGCATCAGGGACGACATCGTGGGTGTGCCCGGGATTTCTCAACGGCGGCGGATGTTCGTTCTGCGCGTTCGTGGTTTTCGCTAAGCGTGCTACTGACGCTTGGTGCACCCGCGGCTACGGCATCAGGGACGACTTCGTGGGTGTGCCCGGGATTTCTCAACGGCGGCGGATGTTCGTTCCGCGCGTTCGTGGTTTTCGCTAAGGGTGCTACTGACGCCTGGTGCACCCGCGGCGACGGCATCCGGGACGACATCGTGGGTGTGCCCGGGATTTCTCAACGGCGGCGGATGTTCGTTCTGCGCGTTCGTGGTTTTCGCTAAGCGTGCTACTGACGCTTGGTGCACCCGCGGCGACGGCATCAGGGACGACATCGTGGGTGTGCCCGGGATTTCTCAACGGCGGCGGATGTTCGTTCTGCGCGTTCGTGGTTTTCGCTAAGGGTGCTACTGACGCCTGGTGCACCCGCGGCGACGGCATCAGGGACGACATCGTGGGTGTGCCCGGGATTTCTCAACGGCGGCGGATGTTCGTTCTGCGCGTTCGTGGTTTTCGCTAAGGGTGCTACTGACGCCTGGTCCACCCGCGGCGACGGCATCAGAAACGACATCGTGAGTGTGCCCAAGATTTCTCAACGGCGGCGGATGTTCGTTCCGCGCGTTTGTAGTTTTCGCTAAGCGTGCTACTGACGCCTGGTGCACCCGCGGCGACAGCATCAAGGACGACATCGTGGGGGTGTGTCCGGGATTTCTCAACGGCGGCGGATGTTCGTTCCGCGCGTTCGTGGTTTTCGCTAAGCGTGCTACTGACGCTGGTCCACCTGCGGCGACGGCATCAGGGACGACATCGTGGGTGTGCCCGGGATTTCTCAACGGCGGCGGATGTTCGTTCCGCGCGTTCGTGGTTTTCGCTAAGCGTGCTACTGACGCTGGTCCACCTGCGGCGACGGCATCAGGGACGACATCGTGGGTGTGCCCGGGATTTCTCAACGGCGGCGGATGTTCGTTCCGCGCGTTCGTGGTTTTCGCTGAGCGTGCTACTGACGCTGGTCCACCTGCGGCGACGGCATCAGGGACGACATCGTGGGTGTGCCCGGGATTTCTCAACGGCGGCGGATGTTCGTTCCGCGCGTTCGTGGTTTTCGCTAAGCGTGCTACTGACGCTGGTCCACCTGTGGCGACGGCATCAGGGACGACATCGTGGGTGTGCCCGGGATTTCTCGACTGCGGCGGATGTTCGTTCCGCGCGTTCGTGGTTTTCGCTAAGCGTGCTACTGACGCTGGTCCACCTTCGGCGACGGCATCAGGGACGACATCGTGGGTGTGCCCGGGATTTCTCAACGGCGGCGGATGTTCGTTCCGCGCGTTTGTAGTTTTCGCTAAGCGTGCTACTGACGCTGGTCCACCTGCGGCGACGGCATCAGGGACGACATCGTGGGTGTGCCCGGGATTTCTCAACGGCGGCGGATGTTCGTTCCGCGCGTTCGTGGTTTTCGCTAAGCGTGCTACTGACGCTGGTCCACCTGCGGCGACGGCATCAGGGACGACATCGTGGGTGTGCCCGGGATTTCTCAACGGCGGCGGATGTTCGTTCCGCGCGTTTGTAGTTTTCGCTAAGCGTGCTACTGACGCTGGTCCACCTGCGGCGACGGCATCAGGGACGACATTGTGGGTGTGCCCGGGATTTCTCAACGGCGGCGGATGTTCGTTCCGCGCGTTTGTAGTTTTCGCTAAGCGTGCTACTGACGCTGGTCCACCTGCGGCGACGGCATCAGGGACGACATCGTGCGTGTGCCCGGGATTTCTCAACGGCGGCGGATGTTCGTTCCGCGCGTTTGTAGTTTTCGCTAAGCGTGCTACTGACGCTGGTCCACCTGCGGCGACGGCATCAGGGACGACATCGTGGGTGTGCCCGGGATTTCTCAACGGCGGCGGATGCTCGTTCCGGGTGTTTGTAGTTTTCGCTAAGCGTGCTACTGACGCTGGTCCACCTGCGCCGACGGCATCAGGGACGACATCGTGGGTGTGCCCGGGATTTCTCAACGGCGGCGGATGTTCGTTCCGGGCGTTTGTAGTTTTCGCGAAGCGTGCTACTGACGCTGGTCCACCTGCGGCGACGGCATCAGGGACGACATCGTGGGTGTGCCCGGGATTTCTCAACGGCGGCGGATGTTCGTTCCGCGCGTTTGTAGTTTTCGCTAAGCGTGCTTCTGACGCTGGTCCACCTGCGGCAACGGCATCAGGGACGACATCGTGGGTGTGCCCGGGATTTCTCAACGGCGGCGGATGTTCGTTCCGCGCGTTTGTAGTTTTCGCTAAGCGTGCTACTGACGCTGGTCCACCTGCGGCGACGGCATCAGGGACGACATCGTGGGTGTGCCCGGGATTTCTCAACGGCGGCGGATGTTCGTTCCGCGCGTTCGTGGTTTTCGCTAAGCGTGCTACTGACGCTGGTCCACCTGCGGCGACGGCATCAGGGACGACATCGTGGGTGTGCCCGAGATATCTCAACGGCGGCGGATGTTCGTTCCGCGCGTTTGTAGTTTTCGCTAAGCGTGCTACTGACGCTGGTCCACCTGCGGCGACGGCATCAGGGACGACATCGTGGGTGTGCCCGGGATTTCTCAATGGCGGCGGATGTTCGTTCCGCGCGTTTGTAGTTTTCGCTAAGCGTGCTACTGACGCTGGTCCACCTGCGGCGACGGCATCAGGGACGACATCGTGGGTGTGCCCGGGATTTCTCAATGGCGGCGGATGTTCGTTCCGCGCGTTCGTGGTTTTCGGTGAGCGTGCTACTGACGCTGGTCCACCTGCGGCGACGGCATCAGGGACGACATCGTGGGTGTGCCCGGGATTTCTCAACGGCGGCGGATGTTCGTTCCGCGCGTTCGTGGTTTTCGCTAAGCGTGCTACTGACGCTGGTCCACCTGCGGCGACGGCATGAGGGACGACATCGTGGGTGTGCCCGGGATTTCTCAGCGGCGGCGGATGTTCGTTCCGCGCGTTCGTGGTTTTCGCTGAGCGTGCTACTGACGCTGGTCCACCTGCGGCGACGGCATCAGGGACGACATCGTGGGTGTGCCCGGGATTTCTCAACGGCGGCGGATGTTCGTTCCGCGCGTTCGTGGTTTTCGCTAAGCGTGCTACTGACGCTGGTCCACCTGTGGCGACGGCATCAGGGACGACATCGTGGGTGTGCCCGGGATTTCTCGACTGCGGCGGATGTTCGTTCCGCGCGTTCGTGGTTTTCGCTAAGCGTGCTACTGACGCTGGTCCACCTTCGGCGACGGCATCAGGGACGACATCGTGGGTGTGCCCGGGATTTCTCAACGGCGGCGGATGTTCGTTCCGCGCGTTTGTAGTTTTCGCTAAGCGTGCTACTGACGCTGGTCCACCTGCGGCGACGGCTTCAGGGACGACATCGTGGGTGTGCCCGGGATTTCTCAACGGCGGCGGATGTTCGTTCCGCGCGTTCGTGGTTTTCGCTAAACGTGCTACTGACGCTGGTCCACCTGCGGCGACGGCATCAGGGACGACATCGTGGGTGTGCCCGGGATTTCTCAACGGCGGCGGATGTTCGTTCCGCGCGTTTGTAGTTTTCGCTAAGCGTGCTACTGACGCTGGTCCACCTGCGGCGACGGCATCAGGGACGACATCGTGGGTGTGCCCGGGATTTCTCAACGGCGGCGGATGTTCGTTCCGCGCGTTTGTAGTTTTCGCTAAGCGTGCTACTGACGCTGGTCCACCTGCGGCGACGGCATCAGGGACGACATCGTGCGTGTGCCCGGGATTTCTCAACGGCGGCGGATGTTCGTTCCGCGCGTTTGTAGTTTTCGCTAAGCGTGCTACTGACGCTGGTCCACCTGCGGCGACGGCATCAGGGACGACATCGTGGGTGTGCCCGGGATTTCTCAACGGCGGCGGATGTTCGTTCCGGGCGTTTGTAGTTTTCGCTAAGCGTGCTACTGACGCTGGTCCACCTGCGCCGACGGCATCAGGGACGACATCGTGGGTGTGCCCGGGATTTCTCAACGGCGGCGGATGTTCGTTCCGGGCGTTTGTAGTTTTCGCGAAGCGTGCTACTGACGCTGG